ATAATGTCATCATTAAAAAAGTAATAATTTATAAACAGTCAAAAAATGGTATCTTGCTATCTGGGATTATTCCAAGTCTAAAATCCAGATTTGGAAAAATGTTGAATATGAATTTCTTCAAATTTCTCATTGCTTTCTGGTTAACATTAATTGTCTGAGAAAATAGGTAGATGATATCGAAATATGGTCGGATGATCTAGCATTGTATACACTATACAGTGTTGATTTTAATGGTAGGTGGTGAGCTTTATATTGAAATTCAATATTTCAAGGTTTAAGCTTTTAAATTAATAACATAATTAATACTGCAACATTTTAAAATTCATACATTGCAACATTCTCTATAAGAGACATTTTTGTCAGCAAAAACTGGGTATGCTCTATAACTTAATTAACCTCATTACTCATATAGTATACATATTTTATAATTTTGTCTGTGAGAAATTGACAATCCAATGGTCTAATTTCATGTTCCGCAAACAGAATTCAAAAATATTTATACCTATTATTACCTACATTCTGTGTAATTTGAATTTGAATCTAACATGACTGGTAGACATTAGTTCATTAATTTATGAATAAAATTATAAAACCTTGAACGTAAAGTAGTTACCTGTAAGCTAAATCATGAGCATTTTCAATTTGTTATATTTACTTATATTTTGCTTAAAAATGAAAATATTGTAGAACAGTCTAAAGACAGTTAATGTTAGTACATTTAAGTTTAATAATAGGTGTTCGCGCCGTCGTCTCCGCCACTCCCATACTAGTACATCACACCGACCACCACACACACAGTCACACATCATTTTATTGTCCTTTTATTATATTGTTTTTATTTTTGCATTAATTACGTGCTTGTGAATTATTATCTAATATGTAGATTATCATCGCCGCCGTGCCGTCTGCGCGATTATTATTGTTTAACACATCGGCCGACGGCACACACACACACACACGCACACAATATAATTATTTTCTTTATTTTTGTATAATTGTCAATATTGTGAATTATTATATAATATTATGCAGATTAAAGCGCTATCGCTCGCCGCCGGATCGGCTGGCGACTATTATTTAACACGGCCGCCGTAATATTAACCATTCGCGATCGTACCTTTTTCGTTGTGGTTACTAAGTGTCAACGCAAACGCCTTTAGTTTTTTTTTTATACATTTTTTACGCCGATTGTATTTTCTGTTATTGAGGGCGCCGATCGCCCCAAAAGTGCGTTTTTCTTAATTATTATATTTTCTAGTGCAAGCGCTAATCACCACCTAGAAAATCGTATAATTAAATTTATATTATTATTATTTTGCTGCCGTGCGTGCTAATCACCGCGGACGTCATATTATTATATTTTGTAAGCGCAAATCGCCGCATTTTTATTATATTTTGTAAGCGCAAATCGCCGCATATTTATTATATTTTGTAAACGCAAATCGCCGCATATTTATTATATTTTGTAAACGCAAATCGCCGCATATTTAATATATTTTGTAAACGCAAATCGCCGCATTTTTATTATATTTTGGAAGGGCAAATCGCCGCATTTTTATTATAATTTGTATAGGCGTAATTCGCCACCTTTATTATATCGTGCGCTAATCGCCGGTCCTTGTTATAAAATTATTATATTATTCTGCCGAGCGCAAATTGCCGGTGATTTTCCTATTATATTGTTGTATGTCGATTTTATTCATTTAGCTACAGGACCAGCTGGCCAGTCTGCGTTCCACAAACTGTGAGTTTTTATTATTATATTATTTCTTCATTTATTTTACATACTTAGTTGTTGGGCCAAAAGGGCCGTAGAAATATATTATACTGCAATAGCCATAAAGCCTTTGATTTATTATTTATATTATATTTTTTATACCTTGGTGTTACTGTGGTTTTTACATATTTGTAAAAACTATTGTACGCCGCGCCGCTCCTACTTTTAATTTCGCGGTTAGCGACAACGACTCGCGTTATGTCGTGGACGTAAAGGGCCGGGGTGCAAACTCACAATATCTTATCTCGTACAATAAAGTTGAGAATAACTTAAGGCGCAATGGCGCAATATATATATTTTTTACAACAACATGCACATTAGGTACACATATAACAATAAATAAATAATTCAATACTAAATAAGTAAAAATATGGTATATAATGACCTGATCGACACTCCGGCGTGGGTTACTGGTGGTCCGGTCCTCGCTGGAAAGGCGACAGCGTCTTCCTCTTCGAGAATTATGGTCGGCTGTGACACAAACATGAAACAGTAATCCGTCAAACTTCGGCTATCCCGAAGTATACGACGGTCGCGGTTTGACGATTCGACAAAAGAAAAATAGTGGTTTCCAGGCTTAACCAAAACTAATAATAATACTAATAATGATGTCGCATGACCACGAGGTCGGTCACAGCCCGACAGAGGACAAAAAACGAACCGGCGGTGCGTGATCCGCGATCCGCCTGGTTCAGGCGTTGGCAAAAGACAAAAAAGATGGTGTCCCGGCACGAGAGCCGCGGACGCCGTCCGGCTTGAAGACACCGTGGAGGGGGAACGACTCATCGCGAACATTCCGCGCCGACCGCGTGACTTGTAAAGCCTTTGAACTTTTTAGTTCGGCGGGAAATTCAGCCGCGTTCGAACAACTATTATTATTAATATTGTGTATTATACAGCAACTCATTTACCAGCAATCATGTTTACCTTTTTAACGTTAGTTTTAAGTTTTACACACACACAAATATACACACACCACCCACATACTAGCGCTCACAGGTTTTGCTCGGCGACCCTGTCCAACTCCTGTTGGATGCTATATACATTATACACACTTACAAAGGTCGGTCGGTGTGTGCGTGCCGTTACGCAAAAAGTTAGGTAACCGGGCGCGCGTATTATTATCTTATGCTCCCGGCCCGTACAATAGGTAATTCACTTTATAAATTAAGCTAACAACACACAATTGATTCTGCTGAAGTCAAAATTGATATATTTTACATTTTGAAGGACGGAGACAACACAGATATGAATATTGTCATCTTAGGATATTACAGCACCAACACCTCTTTTTGAACGGTAGTGTTTTTTTATGATTTGAAATTACCTTAAGTGTTTGAATGAGATTGTAATTTTTGATAAAAAAAAAAAAAAGAAATAATAATTAAAATAAAAACTAAAAAAAAAAAAAAAAAAAAAAAACAAAAAAAAAATATACAATTTAGTATTTACATTTTACAATACATACAACACTGCGGCCAACAATAAATATTACCAGGTATTTTCAAAACTTACAATTCTTAAGTTGGAGAAGTTAGCCACAGTCAAGGTTAGGTTATATTCATCATCATATTATAATTATTATTAAGAACACCCAGCAAGTATTAAGATGTTTGTTCTCAATACTCAATGATAGATATAATAACACGCACATTAGCATCCTAAAAATAATACAGATTCATTGGAATGTTTTCTGTATCATTACTTGAAGGAGGTTCACAATCAAATTGGATACAGTTTTTAATTTAATAGCTACTGTTCTAAAACAAAAGGAGTGTAAGTGGCAAAACAATCTGTGTTAGGTGCACACAGCACAAATTAACTACAAATTGTCAGTTTTATTTTGTGGTAGAGATATAAGTGAATTATTTGTCAGACACTGTGATCTGGTAGCAAATCCATTATAAATTAAAAGGTAAGAGGTAAAAGTACACTTTTTAAAGCTTGATTGTAAAAAATTAAATAATTTCACTTACAAGGCACCTTGTATATTTAAATAATTGACTGCTGTAGATAAATAAAAATATTTTTTTCAAAACACAATGACCTTGACCTTAAGAGGATGCCTACCCTACCTGCATGTGTTATCTCTGTCTTATAAAAGTACAATATAAAACTGTTTGATAGGGACAACAGATAGGGATAGAACCACTCAGGCTGTAGTCCAAGCTAAACAACCATCATTTTTATTTTTTCGATATCACAAATACAGAAAAAGTTTTTACTGTATAAAAATTCATTACTTCAAGCTTGAATAATTTTTATTGTATTTGTGATATTGAAAAAATAAAGATGATGTGTTGCAGAGTAAATAATTTCCTCTTTATAATGTGAACATTTGGTTGCTTTTCTTGGACTATAGCTTCAGTGTTTCTCTATCGCAAGACAGTTTTTGGTATTTTGTATGTTAGTACGACAGAGACAACACATGCGCGTGTGGAGTCCCCCCAATGACAATGTTCATATTCTATATGTGTAGCTTGTTGATGAGATTATGATATATCCAAAATAATTACGACTCAAATTAAACAAACATTTTGATATCTAGATATTGAATTTTGTTTTAGATTATACTAAATAAACAACACAACACATAAACATAAATCGTAGGATAGGGGGTTATTAATAAAAAGAATATCCATACACACAAAAATATTCTATTAAAAAAACATTTAACTATGCCAAAGAAAAAAGTCTTATAATTCAATAGATTAATAATAAATATGTATTGAAAATAAAACATTCATTTCTTTTATGTCAATTAAAAAAGGCCTAAAAGAATTTTGTCTGATTCAAAATTACTTTTATATACAATAAAACCTGTCAATAAAAATAAAATATCCAAATTAAAAATTGAAGATCGAAGTGTCCATTATAGACAGGAACATTGGAATGAGACAGGTTTCACTGTACATAATAATAGTTTTGACTACAAATAACTCAACAGTAAAATTCATATTTATAATATAGTATTGATAGTCAATTTGAATACAATTCACACAAAATAATTAACTGCCTTATGAAATTAAAAATTTTGAACATTAATATTTATAACATAACAACCTTAAATTACAATAAATAAACTACAAAATAGTTAAATATAAATTTTAAAATGAGGAAATCTTAAAAATGATATATATCCGAATTAAAATAATGTATAGATGATAAAAAAAAAAAAACAATTTTGACAAAGTAAAAATAAAAAATGTTTTGTTTTTCTCCTTTAGTTTTAAAGACTAATTAATATATTTTGTACTAACCAGAAAGTTAATAAAATAAAATTAGGAATATTTATTTCTGCATAGGAATGAGAAATTAATTTCTTTGCTCATTAGGAACAAATCTGAGTAGAGGTTCAAAAAACTGAATAGCTATTTGAGGACATCTATGGTAGACGACAGTTGCTTCAAGTAGATCTGCAATTTCTGCATTTTTCCATGCCATCAAAAACATTAGTTTTCCATTCACTTGAACTGCTCCAATAATATGATCTGGTTCAAGTCCACGATCAAAACCAAATGCTTCATCATCATCGTCATAAAAAAATAGATTGAGGCCCAAATCAGTAGTTAGATTGAGGCCCAAATAAGTAGTTTCATGTTTAATTTCATGCTTGACTTGAACTCTGTAAAAATAATGTTTTTAATTATTACCTAGTCTACAATAATCAACTTAAGGTTGTAAATCTTAGTTATTAGTTATAATATATATGATTCATTCTTGATATTCTATATGTTTTAACCTACTATGCCGCGTCCATACACATACTAAATACTAAATAGAAAGCAAAAACAAAAGCTCAACTTTTACATAACAGACTGGACTATACAAGGTGTAACATATAACCTTAACCTGACAAAAAAAAAAAAAAAATGATGGTACCTTAATGTAGAACAAAATTTTATAACATACCTATGAGTAGAAAATAATTTATGAAATATACTCATGTCAGCAAATTTCCTAAAATTATATTTAAAATAATGTTATTACGTCCCAAATAAATTTAATCAAAAAAATATTGATATTTGAAAAATTCTAAAAATAAACTACTCGACTTAAATAAATGTTTTTACCATCAAAATTGCTCGTATAATCAGATTAACAAATTGGTTTTTTTAACTTTTCCAAAAAAACTTAGTGAAATTTAATTTTTATATTCAGTGCTAGTTGCCCTAATACTGGGCAGCTACCAGCGTTGCCCGTGTATTATATAGCTCTATAAAAAACCCCTTTTTACCCCCTTAAAAGTATTTTAAAAAATCCTTTCAAAAAATAATAATAATATTTACAAATGATTCTAATGATTTACATTATTAATACACATATTGTTATTAAAAATGATTCTTTAATTATAATACATATTATCATACTCTTAGTCTTGAATTTATTATTTAAATTAATTTATATAATACTTTAAAGTGTATTTATTATTTTCTATTTTCCATTTTAAAAATTATTATTTGCTTTTATTTTTATTTTTAAATTAAAATTATGTTTACAGTATGTATTTTATACATGTATGATTTAAGCTACTACTTTTAATTAAATAAATAAAAAATGTTTCATTACAATATTTGAAAAGTATATTATGAACTTAGTGGTAGTATATGTAAAACAGAGAAATATTGCAACCAATTAACAAATAAGTATATACCTATATTATCTGGACCCCCCCCCCCAAAAAAAAACATACAAAACGCCATTGGTCTCGACAATAGTGAGCTGACTAACGTTAATTGCGGCGGCCGTGTTAATTGTTCTCACTTCAGCTAGACAGCAGAGGCGGCTGTTATCGAGTCGCGCTACATAATATTATATAACTCACTGGACACATTTAAAAAAATACAAAAATAAAACAATACAAATAAACATTAAAATGTGTTGCGTGTGTGTGTGTGTGTGTCGATCGGTGGCGAAGTGGTAGGTATGTGGCGTTGTAATCAGTGCCTATTAAGTTTTAATTCTATGGATATCTACACATAATTCCTAAGCAATTTTTACATTCCCTACCTAGATACCTATATAAAAGAAAATATTTAACTTGTTACCAACAATACTTCATATTATGCTATCATTATCACAAATCGTCAAGTGAAACAAAATTTTTTTAAATGAAAATATTTTGCCCCCCTCCTTGAAAAATTCCTTTGACGCCCTTATAATTGAAAATGCATGAATTAGATACATCATTAAAAATAAAACGCGATGAATTTTATAATTGCCATAATGATGTAGTGCGCTTGTATCATTTGGGAAAGAAAAATTAAGTTGACCAACGGCAGTTCTTTCAATGTCCAGTTAAAGTTAACGGATCACTTAAGGAATTCTGCCTTTAATAAAATCTGTTATCAACCGGTAAGCATTAACCGACACTTAACCGGACATTGTAAGAACGGCCCTGAATTATAAGCAATAATACCTAAAAAAATGATTTACAATATTAATATTATAAAATTATGTCAATCAATACCTACTCGATTTATATGAAATTGTAGGCTAACGTTATGAAGTCAACAGAGCTACAACAGTAGTTCTATAATATAATTTTAGGACCATTATCACAGCTAATTCCAAACATCGGGAATCACTAGCAATAGTATAGCTATAAAATAAATAGCAGTATGCTTTGGTAACATATCGATGTATCCCGAGCACACGAGTGTTTACCTACTACTAACATATCACACAATAACGGTAATAAACATGAACACGCTACGCGCCGAAAATGATTACATATTATTATTATTATATTTTATTAAACATCGTCGTACCCGTCAGCGTTTTCAAGACCGTTGGCCTTAGAAAATTCCGACTCGACCCTTGGCGTTGATGGGACGGTTTCGTCCAAAGGCAACGGTGATAGGCAGGCTGGGGAGGCAATGCCGTCCGTCGGTGGAGATGCGGGGCTGGCGTCTTCCTCTGGAGGAGGTGCGAGGCTGGCGTCTTCCTTTGACGGTGACGGGCGATCATCGTTAGTGTTTGGCACCGGTGCGAGACTAGCGGCGTCATCTTCCTTTGGCAACAATACGACATCCGACATTTCGGTTTCGTCCTTCGGCGGCCGTACTGGGCACGTGGCGGCTGCGGCGTCGTCTTTTGGCGGCTGTCCGGCATAGCAGTCGTTGGGACGGTTCACCGGGATAGCGAATAGCCGATCATCCGACATGGCGGAGTGTTCGTAGACGGTCTTTAGAGAAGTGACGCAGTGCACGTGTTTCCCGCGTTTTTTTTTGGAGAGAGAGACGCTGTTCAAAACGAGACGGCCGTAAGAATGAGCACTGAGCAGTTAGCAATAAAAATTATTATGTAAAAATATGCATTGTAGTAATCATAGTCGCTAGTGTCGCTGTCATCAGTTGTCCGGTCGACTGGGCACGACACCAGCCGACATTATTATCATTATTATTATTACCACTTTTATGCTCACTACTCAGTACTCAGTTACTAGTTTGACTTTGACAGTTAGTTCATGACAAAATAAATAGGTATGATCACAGATTTTTGATACGCATCCCCGGTTCCTCACTTCACCATAGAAAGTGGTGGGAGACTTCCGCCTCTTTTCATTGGTTGCTGCTCTGCTGGTATTCTGCTGGATGCTGATAGTGGTTGACGGTTATCAAATAATAAATATATTATAATTTTTTATTAAATTCATACTTAAATCGTAAATTTTCTTATTAATATTCACGAATAAATAATAATTTAGTAATTTAATATAGTTAATAAGTCAGACAGTTAGTTATAAGTATTAAGTTTATCAAATTGTAGGTATTCATATTATTTAATTTAGTGTATTTTTAAGTTCTGCAAGTTCTGTGTAAGTTTAATGTTGACTGTTGTTAGTAAATATCATGACTAAATAATAATAATAACTATTACATGACCTATGCACTTCGTTGCCCTTAAAAAAAGACAACTTTTAAAAAAAATGTGATTGTTCAAATACTTTTGGATGTGACTTGCAGCAGTAAGTGCAATTGAACCACTCTGGTAGGCAATCGGACTATGTCGGATTGCGTACAATGTGCGACAGCATATGAAGTAGGCAATAATAGCTTAACTAATTATATACAATAATAAATTATTATTATAATTGCTTTAATACCCATAGCAACCATTTATTAACAAAAACTCCCATCATGAATAATAAGATAAACATAAGATAGATATTTAACAATATTAATTTATAAATTTTTGTTTTTTTCTCTTTTCTTGTCTCTTCATATAGTTCTTCTCAGTGGTTCTGTTGTTGAGATCATTCAGTCTGATGAATGTCCTTGTTCTAACAAGGCATTCAATAGCTTCTTTTGGAATAGACAAATTTTCAATGTCAGGCATCAGTAAGTTGGTCATAGTTTTCATTATATTTTTATTTTTATTAATTTTATCTTGATGAAGTTTTTGAAATTCTACTTCTAATTTTTTGACTGCCACCATCATATTGTCAGAAGGCAATGTCAAACCACCCCTTGATTTACAACTTGTCCAACAACTAACAGTTTTATCATCAATTTTTTTGATAAGTTCTGGATATTTGTTAGCAAAACGATTAGCAACATATCCAGCTACATATTGTGCACAATCTAGTTCGAGTTCATTGAAAGGTTCACTGTTTTCCATCTAAAAGGTAAGAATAAACATATTTTGTCAGATTAGTCTTATGATTTGTTTTAGTATATTTTATTTTTTAATTATAACATAATTAATGTGTGCTTATTAAATTATAAATGTCTCAAGTCTACAGTTAGTTTTAATATATTTAATGAATAACTAGTTTGTATACTTCA